GGTGCCCCTTAAAATCGCTTCACGATGATGGGTAAAGGCAAAAAACTAACTAAACAATAATATTGAAACAAGTGTGCGTAAAAAACTCTAGTGACAAAAAAATGAATTTTTACAATGCTAAAAAGAAATTTTCTTTTATCAAGAAAAAAATATTCTTGCACCATAAGGGAATCTACTTGTACCAAGATGATTATTCATAGCAAAAGGATTTTATTCTTAAAAGGAGAAGAAATAAGCTTGAATACATTTTCAGATAAAAATCCTCTCATATCAAGACCCAGTACGGAGTTTGATTCGCAACTTCTCGATTGCCGAGCCCAGTCAGCCTCGCGGTCGCTTGCTCACGCGCATACGGAGCTTGAGCGGGACGCGCTCGACAATTGAACGAAATTGATGAAACGTCCATCGATCTGCGGTGGTTCGAGATCTGATCGGCGAGAGTCTTGATCGGCGGACAAAGCTTGCCCCAGTGTCGTCAGCTCGCGGGCACTCGGATCTTGAGCGAGTCGCGCTCGACGAGTGAGCGAAATTCAAAAAAGCTCCATCGAGCAACGCTGGTCCGAGGTACCAGCCGTGACAGCCTCGGCTGTCAAACCAACTTTGTCCCACTGCCGCTAGCTGGCGCGCACTCGCGACATGAGCAAGGCGCGCTCGCCGACAGAACGATACCGAGTAAACCTTTATCGAAGCGCTGCCGTTCGGGCTTGGGATAGAGCGCGTTTCAGCTATGAAACGGCTGCCGTCTCATGCTCTTTGACTGGCTAGCGTTCAAGTGCAAAACTGCGCGCGCTCGTCGCTTGCACTGCGCCGTGCCTGCGCCCACCGAACCTTCATAGTTACATCTCTGTTTCGCTGTAGTTCCTAAGTCGAGTCATCATAGTTTCAGATAAACTCGACTATTGCAGTTTTCTTCTGATATCGATGTGCTCTCAATGCGGCGGACCAAATTGGTTCTTCACTCGCTGAAACCAATGGTGATCGATATTTTCTTCCGTGTAGCGTGTGCAGTGGTGCGAGAACTTGTGAGACTGTGACTGTGAGGACGGAGAACTGTGTTGTGTGCGTGAGCATCATCGTGCGAGTGCAACACACCGGCACCACTGCCAAACCCAGGCCTCGAGGTGACTTGGCTGAGGCAGAGCGAGCGTTCTACCTGCAACGGCGAACACGAGGTCCTTGTCGATTGTCGCTCCTATCATAGACTTTCTCTCTCTTTCTGCTTAGCTTGCTTTCTCTTTCTTGCTACTGCTGCTGCTCTGCTCCTGCGACTCTATATAATGTACGTTCATTTATTACGTACATAAAACGTACTCTTTTACACTACTTTTGTATTCCGATCATTTACGCCTGACTCTTTCTGCTTTCCCCAATTCCACCTTCCGTTCGATCGTATACATATATTCGCGATTTCAGCTATCTACCTGCGACGTATTCGATACTTTGTATAATTGCGAACGCACATTCCAACACAAATGTTTTTTGGATAGCAATGCCAATTTTATTTTAACAAAATACCAATTTTTTTTATATGTATAAATATCAATTTTTTTTAATTTAATCGTAAAAAGTAGCATTGGTTTCCTAAAAAAATTTTCTTCAATGTTATTTGCTATTAAAAAATAGTAATGTTTTAATTTTTTTCAAATCATGTAACCACATGCTGGCTTGTTATTTACATATATAACTACACAATACTTCGAATGTATCGTATAAATATCAATTTTTTTTAATTTGATCGGGAAGGAAGAGCGCAAACATCCATAAAGGTCAAAGATTCGAATAATATAAATTTATTTCTTTAAAAAACACAGTCTGCGGGCCTTGTTTTGGAAAAACCGAGTGTAATCTGGCGTCTAGCGCGCGTGACCTTTTACTTAACCGAGAATTCAGAGGCACAGCGACAAAGGAATGTCGCTTTTAACCTCTAAACTTCTCCGCCGGACAGCTGGAAGATTCCGCTGCTGCCGGGTCTGCTGCTTCGCGATCACTCTACGTCAGAGGCGGCCTTTCCGGCCCACGTCTCGATCGTTGCTGCCGTTCACGACGTTCTCTCTCTCTGTGGCACTCACTGTCCCCTGCGTGCCGTTCCGATGTAGTGAGCGAGCGCTCTGTCGCTCATTGGCTGGTTCGATCCGATTTTCTTTCTTCGTATGTATCAGCCGTGTATGTGTGTTTACGTTGCGATATCAAGTCAATTTTTACTTTTCTTTAATTTATACTTTTAAATTAGCTAAAAACTTAAACTTTTACACTTTTCATGCTTTTATTGCTTTTCATTTAATTCTTTTTATTTCTTACGGATCTCAAAATATTTTTTCTCGCACATTTTATTACACACTCTCAGATATGCAGATGCGTGCGCAGGCAGTGGGTACTATTGAAGCGTTGCATAGTAGACGTTCTCGGTAGACGAAAGTATATATCATTACCCAGATTGAATGGATATAGATTGAATGCAAATGCAAATGGCTTTGATTTTTGATGCTTCAAATTTAAAGTTTTGTTATTTCAAAATTTTAAATTTTAAATTTTAATTTCAAATTCAAAAGTGAAGGTAACGTGTATCATTCCTCAAGGCAGAAACTGAGTAAAAAATATCATTTTCCTCCTTTGATTATGAGAACATTGAAGAGTTTCATAGTAGACGTTCTCGGTAGACGAAAGTATGTAGGGACCGCAAAAAATTGCTCTAATACTGTTTGGCAGTAAATCCCCGTGACGTTTCGGTTGTTTATCGTCCCGCACAATGACGTCAAAATTTTCTACAGGAAGTTTAAAAGCTTGCTACTTGAAGTCCATCTTTACAAGGCAACGTTCAAACGACAACTGACTCAAATCCTACATATACTCCCTCTTATAGCTCTAGACGTCAGTCGTATGATGGACACCGAAGAGTGATGATCACGTACAAGCAAGCGCAGAAGAAGAAGAAAGGACGCGGTCTGATCAACAAAGCCATCAATAATCTCCCATTCGAGCTTCACATTCCTGGCTATCAGTACTGCGGACCTGGAACTAAGTTGCAAAAACGATTGGCACGTGGAGATCCAGGCGTCAACCCTCTTGACGCAGCTTGTAAGGAGCACGACATCGCGTACTTGAAAAATCGAGAGAATATAGAGGCTAGAAATATTGCATACAGAGCTTTAGCAGAGAAAGCTTGGAAACGAGTTATAGCCAAGGATTCTACTTTTGGAGAGAAAGCAGCCGCTTACGCTATCACGAACACCATGAAGTTGAAATCAAAGCTCGGTATGGGGCTCAAAAGGAAAGGACGTAAGAGTCGTTCCAAAAAGTCAATCAACTTGAAAAAAGTCATCAAAGCCGCAACGTTCAAATGGCCTAAAAATAAATCTGCGAAAGCAGTGATTGGCTTAGCTTTGAAAAAAGCTCACGCAGCAGTGAAATCAGCTGGCGGTAAATCCAAAATCAAAACTCCTCGAATCCTACCTGTGGCTACAGGTGGAGCTTTACCCTTTCTTATTCCACTCTTGCTGGTTTGAGCGCTACTGGTGCACTGGCTGGTGGAGCCGCAGGAATCGCAAAAGCTGTAAACGACGCGAAAGCAGCAAAGCGAGAATTGAAAGAGAATAAACGCCATAATAAGACAATGGAGGCGATTGCTTTAGGAAAAGGCCTGGGTTTCAAACCATACAAAAAGGGTTATGGACTTTATCTTGGACCTTACATGGGCAAAGGTTTAAGAAAAAAAAAACTTCGAAATAAGTTTGCCCGATAGAGCCCTCACGAACGTGGACCTAATGAAATATGCTCGATTATTGAAGATACCAAATTTCCGAGGAGTATTCATGAGATACGATTTACCAAAATCAGGTCCGCATTATCGTGAATCAGATATAATTAATCTTGATGATGCTACTGGAGTCGGTAGTCACTGGACAGCGTATAAAAAAATAGGAAACCACGTCATGTATTTTGATAGTTTCGACGATTTGAGACCTCCTCGCGATCTCATGACGTCTCTAGGTGTGACCGAGGTCAAATATAATACAACAAGATATCAAGATTTCGATACTTACAACTGTGGACACCTCTGTCTAAAGTATTTATGTGGAGCTATATAAGACGCGATAGTATTAAACAATTATCAGTCGTCAGTAGACAGTCATGGAAGAATCATTAACTTTCACTCTCTCGGCTACTTCATCGGTGCTAGAGGCACACTTCTTTCCACCAATTGAACTATCGCAACATAAAAAATACGTATTGGGCTTAGTCGAACTTCTCACGTTCAACTCAATTCCCAATATCGACGTACACAACAATAAATTCAAAGTTGGAGATAAAACTATCGAATTTACAGTGGGTAGCTATCAAATCGAGGACATTGACAACTTTATTAGCAAGGCTTTGGAGAATACCGAAATCACAGTGACATTGAAGCCAAACAACAATACATTACGCTGTAGAATCAAAAGCTCTCACCCCATCGATTTTCGTCCTGACAATTCCATTGGTCAGTTGCTGGGCTTTACACAACGTGAATTGGAAGAGAACATTTCTCACGACTCCGACATTCCAGTCTCGATTCTCAAAGTGAACGCACTAAGAGTGGAGTGTAATATCACCACCGGTGCCTATATTAAGTCGCATAAAGTCCACGACATTCACGAGTTTTTTCCAGCAGTACCACCAGGATAAAAAATCATCGAGATCCCCTCGCAGATAATCTATCTGCCAGTTGCAGCCAGACGTATTGATCATCTACAACTTCGCATCGTCGATCAAGACGGACAATTAGTCAACTTTCGCGGTGAAGTCATCACCATCAGATTGCACCTTAAAAGTACATAATGGGTATCGTTTATAATTCTCACAAAAGCTATATAAGCCACGAGACATGCACTCCGACTATCAGTCGTCGTCGGAAAGCGAAAGCGTTAACACGTCGAAACATACAGTTCCTGCAAAGTCTAAGAATAAGAGTCGTGAGTGGTGGAAAGTAACTTGCATCATCTTTTGCTGCTTTCAACGAAATAATGGAGGACGTGCTAGAAATTCAGTCGCCTGTCGTCTTTGACAAATCACTGGCTCATTACGAGATTCACGCTCATCAGCCCTACACCAATACAACATTCAAGAATAGCGATGAAATTCGCATTTCAATTCAACACCAAGACTTGTGCCTGTTACCATCTCGCAGCTCTCTGCGCGTTTACGGTCGTTTGTCTGGTGTTAGAAATGAAGTCTTGACAGATACTTTATTCGTCAATAATGCCATTTGTCATATGTTCGAGGAAATCAGATACGAGTTGAATGCCATTGAAATCGATAAATGTAAAAACGTCGGCTTGTCAACTGTAATGAAAAATTGGCTGTCTCTCGATCCCAGTCAAACGGTCATTGCTGAGAATGCCGACTGGTTAGGCATCGATGAAAATCAAGCTATCGTCGATGCTAATGGCTACTTTGACGTATTAATTCCACTGAGTCTCATCCTTGGATTCGCCGAAAGTTATCGCAAAGTATTGGTAAACGTCAAGCATGAGCTCATTCTGGTGAGATCAAGCAACGATGTGAATGCTGTACGACAAGCATTGAAAAAAATTGATGGTGTAGATACTTTCGAAGAATTCAAAATTGATTTAACACGTATCGAATGGCTCATGCCGTATGTGAGTGCATCGAATACGAGAAAAATTTAACTGCTTAATTTTTTGAAGAGAGATAGAAGTATTTCGATGAGCTTCCGCAGCTGGGAATTGTACGAGTATCCAGCGCTGCCCAGGAATACCAGCCACGTATGGACAGTGAAAACGGCAAACCAGTTGGAGAAACCACGCTTCGTTATCTTGGGCATAGAAAAAATGCCAAGGATAAGAATGCCAGTCAGTTTGATCACTGCAGCATTTCCAACGTGAAACTTTATCTCAATTCACAGTGCTATCCGTACGGTAATCTCAACATCGATATTAGTAAGAATCAGTATGCTACATTGTACGATATGTATGCCAACTTTCAAAATTCGTACTATGGTAAAAATTCTGAACCACTGCTGAAAAAGTCACAATTTATCAACAATATGCCACTCATCGTGATCGACTGTTCAAAGCAAAATGAGTCACTCAAGAGCGCTCCAGTGGATGTACGTTTGGAGTTTGAAACGAAAACGAATATCCCACAAGGAACCGCGGCATATTGTCTCATTCTTCACGACCGCATCATCCAGTATAATCCAATCAGCAGTGATGTGAAAAAATTAATTTAAAGTAGGGGTATAAAATAGCTAACATCCCTCGTACAGTAGCATTCCACGATGGATGAGTACGTAGTCGACATGCAGGGTTTCATGCTGCCCGGTAAAAATTACGCAGTAAAGGAGCTCGCGATTCTATCAATCAACCGCGACGAAGAACCACTCGTACGTCTGTTCAAACCACCCTTTCCTTGGCGCCGGCTAACAGAAAAATACAAGCGATATAACTTGTGGCTGGAGCTCTACTATCACGGATTGGATTGGAAATCAGGTGATGTCGACTATAGCGAACGCGAATTCATCATTAATGATACACTCAAAGATGCAACAAAAATTTACGTCTCTGGCGATCTGAAAAAGGAATGGTTAGAGCGCTTCATTCTGAAAGTTTATGATTTGAACGAGTGGGGCTATTCGCCATACGAGCATTTGAAAACAAAAACAGTTACGATATGTCCGAACCACAATGGTGCCAACAAAAGTGCGTGTGCACATCACAACGTTAAATGTATGAAACGATTTTACATCAACAGTTGCTGCATGGACTAGGAAGAAACTGAAGTCACCCAGACATTTCTATAATTTTACTTTATCAAAACTTTTGTAAACGATGTGTAAATTAGATTAAGTTTTATGAATAAACATAATTTTTACAACATTAAAAAAATCTATTCATTTCATTCCCCTTCTCCTCTTAATTTGTCCTTTTCAGGACCACCAAATATTTCAAACGTATAACAAATTATTTTTTAATAGCTATTTTTTTATAAATTTTTATCCTAAAAAACAATCGGCCCTTTTCAGGGCCACCACTATTTCAAAAAGTTGAATAAGCTTCTTAGCTTGAACTAGTCCTTTCAGGACTACTAGTCATAATTTTTTATTTTAGAAGAAAAAATCATGTTGCTTCGAGATGAATCGAAATCAGACGCAGCATCGGGATCGCCGTCGAGATCACAGCACGAGCTCAGTGATCTCGAACCCGCAGGAGTTCGAATCATCCCTGAACTCGTATCATCCTTGTTTACCTACTGATGATATTTTTTTCTTAGTTTTTGCCTTGAGGAATGAGACACTTTACCTTCATTTTTAAATTTTCAGTTTAAAATTTGAAATTTGAGAATTTCAAATTTGAACCATCAGAAACCAAAGCCATTTGCATTTGCATTTAATCTATTTCCATTCAATCATGGTAATGAAATCTACTTTCGTCTACCGAGAACGTCTACTATGCAACGCTTCAATAGTCTTATAATAAAAGAAGAAAGATGATATTTTTTACTTAGTTTCTGCCTTGAGGAATGAGACACTTTAACTTCATTTTTAAAATTTTAATTTGAAATTTTAAATTTTATGCATCAGAAATCAAAGTCATTTGCATTTGCATTCAATCTATTTCCATTCAATCTGGGTAATGATATACAGTATGGCTATTATAACATGAATACCAATTTTTGAAATGATTTCCATAAACTTTTTAATAAAATAACCATTGCTAAAATAGTATTTTTGAATTCCGCGTCGAATGGTAAAGTCCTTATTCAAAATTTTTTTTCGATTAATGCGACCAAAAAAATTTTTTTCGATCATTTATTGTAATTGGGTTGTTGTGTAATTCAGATTTTAATTTTGAGATGATTTGGTGATCATTTAGGGCATAAATCAATCAATTAAAAAGTAGCCACATCACCCCATGAATGATCACAGTGGCTCTCAATACAAACTTATCACCTAGCCGCTGAGCAGCAAACTTCATGTATAAACAATCAGGTTACAGGTGGTTTATTTACATAATGTGAATGCGAAAATTGCAAAACTAACCTACTGCCACTTTCTACTGTCATGAAGAGCACCCTGGATTCTACAAAAATTGTATGCGTGCACGCGCCCGTGCTGAAAAGACAAGTCAAAGCCAAGTCAAGAAATAAATATAGAGAGCAACGAAGATGCGGCCGTTGCTACATGTATAAACTTTGAGCTTTGCTGGAATCATAATCGTCTGAACCAAACGAAAGCGCGCATCGGCTGTAAAAAATTATTCTGCTTTTAAAGACCGCGAAATCGGCACGCCGCGCAGGTCAACTATAAACACTTAGACCGATTACACCTTACGTTCGGGTGAACGCCAGAGCGAAAAGGTAGACTGCGAAAACTGCGGAATAAGACGCTAATGAAGGAGGAAAATTGACTTTTTACGTTATAAACATTCGTATAGGCCTTTAATGGTTCAGATGAGTGCGCACAAGAATAATTTGACAATAATAAATATCAGTTTAATAAAGCACATTTGCAATCAATAATTAGCCGCCGCGGGCAGTTCAGCCGTACCATCATAGGTAGCAGCGCATACGTACACGATCTCTCCCTCTCAGTTAAGTCAGTCTTTAAAGAGCAAGCACAAGTTACATCAATCGCTCATTTCATTTATACACCCAACCCAATTGCGAGGCCAGCAGCTGGGCAACATCAGGTCAAGGACCAAGAACCCGCCAGTGTTCTTATTTTTTATTAAATAATTTTTTAAAGTGGAGCATTTCTTATAAAAAGTTAACTTTCCTATTTTTTAAGTTAATTTTTGGGAAAAAAATACGGAAATAGCACGTCTCCATAATAAATGTCGATAGCAAAACTTATTTTTTACTATGAAATATCATTTTATCTGCTAGAATACTTTTCACTCAGAGCCCTAGCTCAGTGTATAGAACGCAGGGCTCCCACGCGGGAGATTTGGGTTCGACTCCCAGTTGGTACCAATAGCTTTTTTTCAAAAAGTGTATGAGCCAAAATTAATACCGCGGTTTTCAAGTCGTTTGAAGTCGTTCAAATAAATAGTAGGTACAGTAATTGGAATCGGACAGGACCGATTATCTATAGGGGTTGCATCAAGTATAATCATGCCGTAGTTCGATGCTTCTCGGAAAAAACGAAAGTTAAGGTTGGGAGAAGACGCACCTTCCACCTACGGTGTAGGGAGTGAAAAAGAGAACATAGAAAATCTCTTAAAGTGACGGACATTGGGTATGCTCACTTTTTGGCATAAAAAATAAGTAGCTTGCTTCAAAGTGTGATAACATGGTTGGATATAGTCAAATTCATTGTGCGACGGCATTTTAGAAGGTAAGTGAACAGCTTTAAAATGAGACCATGTACGTCAAAAATTTAGTTTTACTGTTTGCACTACGAGTAACTTCGTTACATACGTTTCCAAAAGTAAGGTCGTTACTTCGAACTTCGTTACTCGAGTAACGACGATACTTTTACCGGCGATATTTTTGGAAAAGTATGTAACGACGTTATTTGTATCGACGATGCGGAACGGTAACGTAACTGGTATGTTTACTAGGGCGTATCATTTTGCAACGAATTTCTAAAAATGATTCGTAATACCGATAGAAGCTTACTATTGTATATTGCTACGTGGCAGGATGTTACACGGAAATAAAAGGACCAAATACTTCTATAAGCAATATACTATAACAAGCTAAATTGACTCACCTAAAATAAGGATTCATCAATTTACCTTGTTGTAAGGGCTGCAAGTCACAAGTCGTAAGCATAAGCAGTCCTGCGGACGACATAACCTTGACATCTGTCGGCGGTCGAGATAGCGCTATTTTGCACTGACCGCCGAGATAGGCGTTTTTTTAATTGATCAGCCAGATAGTAGCTTTTTGAATTGATCAGCGAGATAGTCGTTTTTTGAATGGCCAACAAAATAGCGCTTTTTTTCTGTCCGCTGAGATAGTCGCTTTTTGCTAGGGGCCATCGATATAAAAAATTTTCTAAATTTTTTAGACGTGGTTTTGAATAAATCTTTGTATTATTTGTTTTGAGATGGAAATTGAAATTCTATGATTGGGACAACATAACGAATGAAATAACAAAAAGAATAAGACCTCGCTCTTTATAGCGGTTAGGTGTTTTTCCTGGAATTGTGCGCAGAATTGAAGCATTTTTCCCATTTAAAATACACGGTCAAATGTTGGCTGCCTGTAAGACCTTAATAATAAAAAGTGACCAGAAAAATAATTCAACAATTTATGCGAGACGGTTATTTTTTTTATATTGAACCAAGCGAGCGTTATGAGCGAATTAATTTTTGCTGTTTATTTATCAGTTTTATTGATAACTAGAAAATACTATTCCTCGGCGCATTTATATTCATATGATTCGAATGTTGTTCAATTTGTCTATCGTTGTTAAGGTAACGTTATTTTTATTCAATTGTTTTCCTGCGAACGTTAAAAGAAACTAACAGTCAGCTGCTGTAACTACACCATGGCAAATCAAGGTAATTATCTTTTTACTTTTCTATATATTCACATAAGTTTTTATGCATTAATTCGTTGGTGAAGGGGAAAACCAAGATTTGGAGGACGATCAAGATGCCGAAATGGGACAGATAGCGGGGGGTGATCTAGTACCCGCACAAGTCCCCAACATCTTGATACCTAACCCAAGAGGAATCTGAGGCATCGTCAGAGTCAACTTTGGTCAGATGCAGCGCAACTCCTTGGTTTTGTCAGCACTTCTGCGAACTCAAGGTCCTGATCTTCAAGCGCGGATGAGTGTTCGGCGTGTAAGAATCTTGTATGCACAGCTTTGGCCAAATCTTATAACGCCGTCAGACACTACTTTTATTCGGTATGTTTTTCGCTCAATTACTTTAACGCGTAAAACAGCATTTTCTTGCACGCAACTTAAAAAAAATAATATCTAATTTTTACAACTTTTTATTTAAATTCAATTTCATTGTTGTGGGATTCAAATTTGCACATGATGCTGATAATCACGAGAGAGAGAGAGAGCGAGAGAGAGAGAGAGCGAGCGAGAGAGACAGAGAGAGATTTTATTAACTACTGTATAATTTAGTATTAGAAAGGACTACTTGGCGTATGGCACACCGATTTTGCCTCGGCAAGCCCGAGCGACGCCTGCACGAGACGCAATCAGGCAGGAAGTAGAAAGACGGTTGCGGGATAATCCATCACAATCTTTGCGAGCCATTGCAA